TGCTGAACACCAAAAACTGCTCCATTGCATAGTTTTATAATAAATGAAAATATGGCACACAACTATTCGCAACAAAAATGTACTTTTAAAAAACTTCGAATGATTGTCGGCATGAGTGAATATTTGAGCGTGTTCTTTTTATTCGTATTGAAAACTCAATTGTGTTTTGTTATATTTGTAATAAAATGAGGAGAGTAGATGGAAAAATTTCCAACCACGTCAAAAACCGACCACCCTAATATACACCAATGATATACAATATTCACGTTTGTTGTGGTCTTTAGGTTGTGTTTAATGTGATGCATTTAGTTCAATAAAAATATTGTGAAATTTCAAATAGCGTTTTTGATTGTGTTTATTCTGACAATTTCCATCAGTAAATGCTTCAGTGCGTATGTTTACCTGATGTAGCACTCGCATTGCGAAGGAACGAAAGAGCTCTTCAGAATTAAAATGTTCCCTTTTGCAATTTTTTTTATTTTTCTGAATATTCTAGCCAAAAAAATAAGTCCCTAATATGCAAACATCAATTATAAATAATTCTGTGGAGGAATCACTCAGAAAAAGAACAAAATAGAAGCAATGTAAGTAGGTAATGAGTTGCAAAATCTATATATACATCCGTACAATTTTATGAAAAACAATACAATATTATGAAGTAAAATTTTATAACTCCACAAGGGAAATTTAATCACAAATCCTAAAACGAACTGAGTTATTTCCGATTAGAGAACCAATCAATTATTTGGTTTTGTTAAAGATAGCGAAGATGGAAGTTGTTCATCACACACATCAACAGTATACAATCTCTCTCTGTACGCTCATCAAAAGTGTTTCGCTTCCATATTATCTACAGCACCCAATACTATAATACATGCAACGTTCTGCTTACGTCTTCTGGAATCACTGAAACATGTACTAATTAAGCCACCTAATTGTTTCTTCTAATTTACAACAATTTTAAATTTTAAGTGTACATGGTATTTTACATAACCCTGTTTGACGCAACAACCTCTAACTGCAACGCCCTTGACAGACAAACAGTATGTAAAACGAACTGATGTACAACTTAGACAAGCACGGTCGTCGCTTTACACGTGCTTCGCATACTTCCTCGTCACGTCAACACTTTAACACGAAGCAGAATACCTCGTTGCGGGCTTTTCTACGTACACCTTATGCAAGCGATCAAGGTGACATACCATTGTGTTACTACGCTTATATCAGAGCAGATTTACGAGGGCGATGAACTTTTAGGTCAAGGCAGGAGCGCAGAGAGCTATTTTTATTTCATCACATTCTAGTAAGGTCTCATGATTACATTCTTCTCTCTTGGCACCTCTAACCACATTTCACTCTCGACGAGGTGTGAAATGTTTGCGTTGTGTGTAGATACTGCAAAGACTGGCGATGTTTTGAAATGCGATTAGTTGCAAGTAAACACAATATATGGAAATAATACGTAGTAGGGATTGTCCTTTTTTCTATATAATTATTAAAGAAATGATTTTGAGATAATTACCACACAAAAAATTTTATTATTACATTTGCGGTCAATGGTATTTTCATTTTAAAAGCGCATTTTAGTGAATTTTAAAATAAATGATTCTGAGAATATAATTAAAGTTTATTTTTAAACTCTAAACAAAATAAATATTATGATAATTAATATTATTATTAGCTACTGTAACAAATATACACGTCATGTTACACTTAATTCATGAAAATTACTCATCAACGCTCTTATTTTAACTCGAGCCAGCTACATGAATGATCAAATGTGTCAACTGGTGACCTGCAGATCATAGGCTGCTGACCTCTAAATATGAACTGTATGGAAGACACAAAATTAACTTAGACACTATTTTTATTATTACTTCTGAATTCACTTTTTTCGGTAGACTTTTATATTTATCTCATATCCCCGTTGTTTAAGTAAACAATTTTTAAAATGAATTAGTAACAATTCAAATATTTTCTAGAGCTCTTAAATACTTTTCTGGAACACAAACGTTTAATTCATTTCCAGACTACTTTGTGATCGACGTACGATCAGTAGGCACGTTAGGATGAACCCTGTAAATAGTTCAACAAAAAATCAATAGTATTTATTAATTGCATCATTAAAACTTATTTCATTCTCCTTATTTTATATTTTATTCATTAACTATTAAAGAAAGTATTTCCGAATAACAAAATTTAATGGAAAGGAGGCCCAGTGACTGACTAAAGGGCCCAAAAATGATGGCCCCCAAAGTGGTGTTGTGGCATTGGCCATGTACGCCAACAACTAGACCTTTGTCTACTAGGTAAATACATATACCTCCCCTTCAATATTGAGCGTTGAAATTTTGGTGGAAATTCAAATAGCTCCCACGGTTTATATATACGAAATCGCATATCAGCTAAAAATACGAATAAATGAATATATTAGGTATTTTCAAGTTTAATACCTGTGTTAAATATATATATATATATATATATATATATATATATATATATATATATATATAAAAGACGCGTCAGTTCCGAAAGCAATGCATGGTCATACATCACATGTTATTGTGGAGCATCCCCGGATTAGGTGGAGTGGTGTCTGAAGCACGACTCTGAGGCTATTTCTAACACTACTGTCGATTCCGGCAATGACACTCCGATAACGCAATCATAACACGAACAGCTCTCAAACTTCCTGACATTGCACAGGCGAAATGTGCGAAGCGATAAAGAGGATGACGTCACGTTTTACATTGAGGCTTCTCTCGATCTTGGTTACAGGGTAATAAAATATTTTCTTCTTTTTAACTCATTATTTTTAACTGTTTAATCACATAAAAAATAAATATTTTCAGGATTTTTTTAGCATCTAAAAGTCCGAGCCCTACCAATATTGGTAGAAGTTTCATACGAGTTGTATAGGATAGCGTAACACACACACACACACACACACACACACACACACACACACACACACACACACAACCTATATTGGTGGCAGCTTCAAATGAGCTGTATAGGATAGCGTAACAAACACACACACAGCACGCACAAGAGATGCTTACAGTAGATGCAACATGTCACGTATACCTTTCAACCATAGCCTAACGGCACTGCATTTTTTTCTCACGTCAACAGTGCCTGACGTCTGCACTTTTTTGTCAACTCACCAACATTACACCACGCATTCTCGTGCGTACCAAAAGCAGAACAACGGCGAATAGGTCAATGGTCGGCAGTAAACTACAGGTATTACGGGGGTAATTCCACAGCGGGATATAAATTACCGCAGCAAGCGCGCTTTTGTTATCAGATGCAAACTGTAGGAACGGGATTACCTACGCGGGCGAAAGACGATACCCGGTAAATGGGAAGCAGTAAAAACCACACGGGGACGAAAGCGGGCAACGGGCCCGATAGCGGTAGATTTGTTTGCGGAACGCACCAGAAGAAATCGTACGTTTCGCACCAGCAGCGTGGGAAAAAACAAGATTAGAAAAACGACCAAGTGAGTATTTTGAGGTTTGGGGGTTTTATTGAGGAAAATTAGTTTTCAGATCTGTGCATATAAAATACTTATTTTCAGCATTCGAACAGTCAGTTTGAAGTTCATTTTCAGTAACGCCAAGAATATGTGTGATGCATCCTAGAATACCCCCCCCCCGCTCTTCCTCTCGTTTTACGATTTCAGAATCACATATTCAAAACAAGTAATATGAATTTTTGCTAATATCATTGAGCAATGGAGTAATGAATTCGTAACAATAGCAAAGTTGAAAAACAAGTTTGCATTTTACTACACAAATTTATTCTGTATTGGTTGTTTCTGGTTGGTGTCATGAAGTTGGAGTTGACTATATAAGCAAATGAAGTTTGTATTTTGTAGACGGTTATCTTTATTTTGTATTCGTGTTTTTTTTTCGTACTGGCTTGTTGTGATTAAATTTGAGTTTTTAATGAATATTTCAATACATGAAATTCAAAGTGTTGCTTCTTTCATAAAATTAATTTTAAAAATTATTAAAATAGTTAAATGTTTCTTACGTGTTTTAAGTTGGGTGCTATTATTTTTAATATTATTATTATTATTATTATTATTATTATTATTATTATTATTATTATTATTATTATTATAAAAACCGGCAGGTTTCTTTGGAAGCTGGGGAAAACCCTGATGCGTACAGTTGAAGGTAGGTAGAAAGAGAATTTCTTCTGTCAGTGAATTTGTAATTTTGGCTAGATGTGCTTGTTTTAGATTCCTCTTGATGTACCAATGAACCTGAAACGGAATTATTCGGTACAACAGCACTTAATTCGACGTCTAGCGTATGGTATGTTATTAAGAACACGCCATTACAGATTAGTTGTTGATGGGCTTTGGTTGTTTTTCACTTGCTGAAAACGATAATAAAAACTCAAATAGCTCGCCCTTGCGCAGGTGTCACTACTATCAATATTAGGTTTCATGTAGAACTTTCGGATACAATCTTAAACACACAAGCGTGTTCATACCAACTGTATAAGATAATTGATAAAAACTACTAATAATACTCTAAAGAAGTACTGTTACCGTTTAGCGTTTATTAAAAAGCACAGCTTTTGTTATCTTATCTCATACATTTATGCATATTGTAATAGAACATCTTCATTTCTTAAGCTCCAGTAAGGAATGTGTTGTCTGTTATTTCGTTATTAATTTCAAATGAATCTGACCTTGAAAAACACGCACCTCAATCCTACTTTTTAGTAATTTATTTCCGTTTTACGATTCGCCCCTACTTGAGATCTTTTTAAATAATTGTATCTTTGGAATAAAGTAAAAAACTTTATTAAATAATTTAAAACTATAGGGCAGTAATTCACAGAAAAATGTCAATTTTAAATGCCATTAAACAAAAGACTACGGGTCAGTGGATGTTTCCTCTGCACTAGGCCTCTAGTTCGTTTCTTCGGAGTTCACCACGTGACAATATTAACAACAAAGGAGAGTTGCATTGATTCGTGACTGACCTGTGATTAGTAGCAGCGCCATCTTGTTCCACGGCGGGGGCGTTGACCTGCATCTCCCTGCTGTAGGCCTCATCTTCTGCCTTCGTTCACTTTCTGAAAACAAAGCACAAATGTAATAATAATAATAATAATAATAACAATAATAACAATAATAGTAATAATAATAGTAATAATTTGCGGCGGCGATGGTGTAAAGGTTAGCGTACTGGACTGTTGTACCCAAGTTGGCGGGTTCAAACCCGATCGAAGCCGTGGATTTTTAAGGGCGAAAAAATCCTTCGTACGCCTTCCTTCGGAGGGGAAGTAAAGCCGGCTGTCCCATGTTCGTAGATTTACTTGCATGTAAAAGATCCTCAAGCCTAAATGACGTAGCCTCTGAGCTAAATTCAAAATCGCCTGTTTCTCGCCCAAGAAATACCTCCTTTCTCTCCTAGTTGGTGAAAGGAGCGTAGCGAAATTTGCGTGGTCAGACGGAAGAGCGGGCCTGATGGCCCGAGTCTCGCCACGTAAAATAAGGCAAATTCAATTCAATTCAATTCAATAGTAATAACAGTAACAGGTGGCATCATTCAGCTAGAAGAAGCCCAGCCGAGAAGTCTCGAAAATTACTTGACATCAAGCTTAATAACCGACCTGACAGTCATTATCTCCACTGCCATTACGCTCCAATTCATCCACGTAAAACAGTCACGTAATTCTTCGGAAAATGAACATCTCTCAGACCAGTTGAAATAAAAATCTCTTCGCAGTTTCCATCGTCATAAATTAACGAGGATCCCATTTTCAAAAACGATACTTCCTCGTAATGACAATGAATATGCCTCTTTCGTACAGACGGTATTATCTGTATAATGCTTAGTGATGAGAAATTAGCTCTTTAAATTTTAACAAAAATGGCATTTTGAAACCAACGCTATAAATTGTAAGGCTGTACACAATTATTGTTATTAAGGGAGGTCTCTTTGAGATAAAATGTTTATACTTTTAGATTTTCACACTAAAATCAGGAAACAAGGGAAACAAATTTAATATTTCGCCAGTTCTGAACTTCAACAAATATAAATGGGGAAGAAGCGTAAATTGAGTAAGAAGCCACGCGTGCGCCGTAGCTTTCTCTTTTTCCTGTGATCTCCGCACTGCGAACTGAGGAAGTTGAAACCAAATGAGATGAAACTGAGCACTCAGGCATTTAAGTTTTTTGTTTTTTTTATTTGTTATTTTTTTACTTTGTATTGTCATTTAAATCTTAATTCCCAATTACTAAAACGTCCACTCTTAAATGTTTTCAAACATCGTTGTGTTGTTGTCGATGTCGCATCCCTAGTTAGAGAGCGAACACGAAAATAATAAACTGCAATTTAGCTATTTTATCTCAAATTCATAACTAGTTTGCAGTTCGTGCGTGATTCCGCGTTTTCTTGAAAATCGAAAACCTGCAGAAATATACTGCACCCATCGTCTCATACTATTACTTTCTTTTTTTTTTAAGCGTTTTTTTAAACGCTTTTAGTTTTTAGCATTTGGTAAAATCAACCATTTCTAATCATGCTATAAAACATAAAACAATTTTTACCGTATTATTTCCTTATGTCAACTAATTTTATTTATTTCATAAAGCAGCCAATTATAAAATTTAAAAAATATTTAGATAACATACGGAAATATTTGGTCGGCAGCTGACTTATCGTGATAGTCCAATAAAAATGTGGACTAAATGTGAAATTGCACAAATCTTCACACAACAAAAGAATTAGAAAGATATCTTCATGAACACAACTATTTTGAAGAACTAAATACACGAAACTATTAAAGTGAGAACAAAAAATTATGACAGCGAAGCATCGCATACATTTGAGGTACTAATTATCTTGTTTATCAAAATTCCATTACAGATACACTCACATGATCCGTCCATAATGTTTAATATACGAGAAATATTAATAATGTACGAAACAACAGGCTTCAAAACTACATCATATTTCATTTTATACTTCATTTAAACGCATCAAATACACACGAATTATTCTGATCCTGTCCTACAATCAAAAGTAACATAATTCTGGTATTCCCAAACAAAACAGAACTAGCTTTGTTTTCCTAAATGCACAGGAATTAATTGTGATAATACTGGTATCTTTCTACAAATATGGGAATTAACCATTGTATCTCGTTTAATGTATAACCTCTGGTTGGTTCAACAAAGCCTGTAATGACAACCGACACTGTAATTAGGCGACAGGTTTCATTTATAAAGGTCACAGTCTAAACTAACCATAATCTGTAACAGAAAACCTGACTATAGAAAATCAAACCCAAATATTTCGTAATTAATATTATTGTTTGCCAACATATTTCGTTACACAATATTCTTTGTTCAATCCAAGAGAAAATGTTGCAATTATGTACATGTGACAAAAAATATTGTTATAAATACGTGAGAGAACTCGACCCAGATTGGATATTTCTTGAAATTTCCTTACCTCCTCATACCATTAGTTTATATATTTTAATAACCAGGCGAAAATGTACTGTTCATCTCCTTACATTTTCTTTACAAAATTCAATCAACTTTATTTTACTCGTGAAAAATTCACTTTGTGTCTACTTATTTCTGTAACGCCATTAAAATCATTAACGCCATTAAGTTCGCAAACTTTTTAATGATGATACATGATTTATGCAAGACTACAGTACCCACATGATGTAATACGTGGAAGAATTCCCTAATTTCGCTCATTTTTTTTTCTAAACACTGTACTGTTATATCAATTTAATGCTTTCAAGCATGCAAAGGAAAAGCCAGTCTCATAATGCCTGTCGTCTCTTAAAGATAAAACGATCTACAGTCCCTTAAGAATAATCGAAACAAAAAGAGTTGCAACTAAAGATGGATTTCAAGTACACGTACTGAAATAAATCGCCTTTCTATTTGTATTTTTTTTCTTATAACAAAACATTCCTGTCAGTAATGAATGATACACGACCACTAATACCAATAAAAGTCATGGTTGGACATTTGCTGTTTATTTGCCTAGTGAAGTTAACAACCACATCGGTAACCTATCGTTTGAAACTGCATGATATCGTATTCAACGTAAGTAAATTTTACAAGAAAGCTACAAAACTAGAACAACATTTAGTGTTTCATGTTTCAAAATCTTCTAATTTAAACTTATTTTATGTCGTTAGCATCATATGTTATCATTACAATTTTTAGAATTGGATATATCGATTTCTTTTTAAATGATGTATCATAATTTAAAAATACTAGCACAATTCTCCAACGGGAGGTCCAACAATCAAGTCCGCGAGCTGGGCCTCCTACATTGATTTGTTTTCGTCCCCATCCCACCCCACCTCATCCCTTCCTCCTTCGGTCAATCGAGATGCACATAACACTTTGCCTGAATATTACAAATTATTAGTATGCATTTTATAAAATGAAGTTGGGAAATATTATTTTTGAAATATGACATTTTGAAAGAAGGTGTGTCAATGAATTTAGCGAAGTCAAATCACAATTTTATAATTCTGGGTCTAGATGACAAAATTATATAAATTACTTTGATATCAAATGAGAGACAACATAACATAAGTCACTATTGTTTAGAATTAGGCAAAAGATGATTTCCCTAGTAGTTTATGAAAACCCAATGAAGGCAAATTGCAATAAGACAAAGGCCAAAGAGTAATTTTTTCATCGCATTTTGATGGTTAAATTTCTGTCATGGAAAATTTTTGAAAAGTGACGCATAATCCACTCCATCCCTATCCCTTCCTCCTTCGGTCAATCAAGACACACATAACACTTTGCCTGAATATTGCAAATTATTAGTAGTCATTTTATAAAATGAAGTAGGGAAATACTGAAGATTGGGTAAGAAGGTGTGTCAATGAATTTAGCGAAATCAAAATCATAGGTTTATAACTCTGGGCCTAGACGGCAAAATTATAAAAGTCACTTTGTTATGACATGAGAGACAAAATTACTTAAGTCACTCTTGTTTGTTAATACTTAGAAATAGGCAAAAGGTGCATTCCCTTGATTATGAAAAACAAATGGTGACAAACTGCAATCAGACAAAATCCCCAGAGCAATTTTGGCATTTTGATGCTAAAAATTGCTGTCGCGGAAAACGTTTGACTCGTAACATGTTGCCATCTCAGCACAGAAATTACGTGTGATAAGCCATTTCGCAGTTTCACGGGCGATGTTTAATTCTCAGTTGGCCGTTGCCCTCCGCCCACGGGGGTTCCAACAATCAGGTCCGCGAGCTGGGCCTCCTACATTGAGTTGTTTGCCTCCCCATCCCTTCCTCCTTCGGTCAATCGACACGCACATCGTAATCGCATCTCAGGGGCCGGATTCCTCCAAGACGGGCCGCCCGCCCGCCCGCCGCTGCCCCCGGCGCCGATCCGCGAATTCCTGGCCGCGGGCGGTCCGTGGCACGCAGAACAGCCCGGGCACGCCGCGGGGCGGCGCCGGCCTACCCCCCGCCCCCGGCAACCCCCCAGGGGCGGCTGCAACCGCAGCACTCACTCGCTCGCGCGCAGAAGGGATGATGCGGGAAGAACCATGTATAGCATAATGGGAGAGAGCAAGTGATGAGTGGGTGATGAGAGCGTGAAGAGTGCGTGAAGAGTGGGTGATGAGAGCGTGAAGAGTGCGTGAAGAGTGCGTGAAGAGTGGGTGGAAAGCGAGTGAGTGGGAAGTGCGTGAGTGAAGGGCGAGTGAGTGGAAAGAGAGCGGGTGAAGAGCGTGTGAGTATGAAGCGTGTGGGTGAAGAGCAAACGAGAAGATCGAGTGGGCGGGATTCGAGTGAGTGATGAGCGAGTGAGTGGGAAGAAAGGGAGTGAAGAGTGAGTGGGAAGGGAGCGGGGAAGAGCAAATGAAAAGTGAGTGAGTGAGTGAGTGAGTGAGTGAGTGAGTGAGTGAAGGGTGATTAAAGGGCGAAGCGAGTGAAGAGCGAGTGGGTGGGAAGCAAGGAAGTGATGAGTGAGTGGGTGAGGAACGGAGTGAGTGAAGAGCAAATGAGAAAATCGAGTGTGTGAAGAGGAAGTGCATGGGAAATGAGCATGAAAAGCAAACAGGT